CATAAAATAAAAATAAATAATTTTTTTTTCTAAAGAACCTATATTCTTTCAGTAGATTTGGTAGACATGGTCCTGCAAGGTTTACAGTACTGAGACTTTCCTGAAGATTTCAGAAAGATGGCATGCGCCATCTTCTGGTGAAAATAAGCATGCCCATTGTGGTAAGGCTCAGCAAGTAGCCACTGTGAGGTTTAATCAGATGCTGGAGAAGCCAACTTGAAGCACAAGAGATACTCTGATAGAAACTGAAGCACGTGTATCTGAAGATTTTTTTTCCACTTTTATAATCAACTGGATTAAACGTAGATATGCTGGTTAAAGGTCATCAACTATCACTTGAAGGAAGCTGGTGAAGCAGCCAGTTTTTGTTTTGTTTTGTTTGTTGTGGTTTTTTATTCTTGAGTAAAATTGTAGGCTCGGTGTGAAATATCATTTTCCAAGGAAAACCTAACTTACTTCCATGAATCATTTATTTAGTGGATGGTGTCTGAACTCTGGTGTGGGGCTTGGATTGTAGTAAAGCACTTGCCTAGCATGCTCGAAGCCCTGAGTTTAATCCCCAGCTCCTCCAAGAATAAAATAAAGGACAGCTGATTACAGTAAAACTGATAGCACTAGGTGCCATGTTTCTCAATCCTTGGTTTTCTGGACAGCTTTGAGCCCCAACTCCTGCCCTGTTATATAATCACTGAGTAGGTTTTCTTTTTCCTTTCCTTTTCTTTTGAGATAGGGTCATGCTGTATATTCTTGGCTGGTGTCAAACTCATGATCCTCCTGCCTCAGCCTCTCAAGTGCTAAGTTTAGACAAGCACCTACACATCTAGTTAATGAGTAGGTTTTATATTAATTCACTGTAAACCAGCATACACTACATTTTATAGATATCAAACTTAAGATGAAAATTTATACATATTTAAGCAATAATATAGTAGGCATCAGAAAGATTACAAATAGACAGAGAGAAGAAACAACCTAAAACCTGGAACCATGCAGTAACTTGGAAGTGCGTTCATGTTGCTCAAACCACAGCTGTATATTGTCTTTTTGTGAAATAAGGAGTCAGAATTGTTCTGTTTATCACAGGAAGAATCCCACAGGCAGATAGGGTAAATGACTTGAAACCCTGGTTCCCCGTTGATCCCCAGTTCTACCTCTGATAATTTCCATCCTGGGTTTGTCTGGCTTTAGGGGCTCTCCACAAGAGAATCACTCATTAGTAAATATTTGCTCATTCATCATAATTTCTGGGGGGAAAATCAAATACAACATTCTGCACATGCCTGAATGATGAGACATGCATGGTGACATCTCCTGACATGTGCGCTGTGTTCCAGGAGCGATGACAAGGAAGCAGCAGCCATACTGGTCAACTGCCCTACCTACTACAGTGTGTCTGCTGCCAAAGCAGAGCTTCTGAGCAAAATTAAAGATATGCCAGAGGAGGTGAATGACGAAGAGGAGCAGGTGGACGTCAATGAAAAGAAGGTAAGTGAGGCGTGGGGGTGTCCTTGTTCTGCTTTCCCAGAAAGTCAAGTTCCTCGTAGTGAGTAGGGCTGAGGCCCCTAAGGCAGAGGGAAGGAACCTGTAGCATAGCTCTCCTGTAAGTAGACAGGGCAGGTAAGTCACTGTCATTCTCATTTTACAGATGATGGAAGTGAAGCTTAGAAAGATTGAGGTATTTCTTGCCGGGCATGGTGGTGCACTCCTTTAATCCCAGGCAGAGGCAGGCGGATCTCTGTGAGTTCAAGGCCAGCCTGGTCTGCATAGTGAGTTCCAGGCCAGCTGGGACTACAGGGAGACCCTGTCTCTGAAAGACAAAAAAAAAAAATTTTGTGTGTGATATGTGAAGGAGTCAGGGCCTGCACTTGCCCTAGTGGCAGCCAGTTATCAAGACATTTCCAAGTAAAGGTAACATTAGCCTTTGTACATTCCTAAGCTCTCTGCAGTACCTCAAGGCAGCTCTTGAAAGCACAGGATTGGAATTCAGTTGTTAGCATTTGGTACTCCTACAGAAATTTTAAATGTCAAACATTTTTAAAATGACCGTGCTATTGTCACAGTCTTCCCACGATGATCTGGGCTGGCCTTGTCTTCAGATAGAAAGTTCTCACCATTCCTTGCCTACAATTCTCCAGATATCCCAAACATGCATTCTATATCTCTCAGTTGGATGGAGCATGGCCTATGTGTTTCAGTGGTACTGATTCCCAGAGATACTTGCCTAGCAATTCTTCATTGATTGTACAGTATGTGCTCCAGGCCCTCTTGTTGGTGTGTTGATAAAACCACAGGGCACAGACCTTAGGAAAGGAGGCATTAGGGAAGTACCCCTTCAGAGGGTCCCCACCCCCATGCTCCACCTCTGTGGGCTCAGGGCTTCATGCTGCTGCAGGTGTTGCAGTAACAAAGGCTCCCTCCCAGCCAAGGGCTTTCCATTCAGATACCTTCTGTGTTGATGTCCCTGTCAGCACTGCTGAGCATGCCCCTATTGTGGGTCCTGTGCTGGGAGATGAGAGCCCTTTGCTCTTTTCCAAAGAAGGAGCCATATAAATACCATTACTTGTATGGAATGCCATGATGTCTTTAATTGTTTTACAGAGAGTTTTGCTATCTTGTTTGTTGCATGTAGGTATCTCTGCATTACACTAGCAGAGAAGCAAATTATTCAGTAGTTTTTTTCTTCGTTTTCTTTTTTAACTGCTTTTTCACTACTTTATTTTCCTCTCACTCTGAGGAGTACTGGGAAAAATGTATTTTCAAACCAAGAATATGAAAGGGTGTAGGATTAACTCATCAGCACAGGAAATGAGGTAGCACTAGCTGTGTTTGAGGTATGGGCTCTGTTGTTTTACGTGGTGCTATTTACACAGAATTCCACTAGTACCTATGTTGGCACACTTTACACTGAAGTAATCAGAATTAGAGAACTGAAGTGCTTGGGCCACACAGCTGATAAATGGTAAAGTCAGAATTTAACCTCAACTCCACTTGATCCTAAGCCTGCTAAAAGTTGCTCCCAAGTCAGCTGCCTCTAAACCTTGCATCCCTGGGAATTGAGCTAAAATGGAGGTTGCCTGGGCAGCTAACCAGAGTCAAAGTTTGAACTTAAAATCAACTTTAAACCAAAAGGATGAGGATAACAAGGCCAGTGATTTGAGGCCTGAGGGTGTCAATTCACGTTCAGTACCTCTGAGCACCAGGCTTCAGAGGAGAGAGGCCTGCTCACAGTCAGGATGGGAAGGGACACTACAGAGGGACACTCCCAGATGGGTGCAGGCACATACCCAGGGCCTGGCACTTGTACTCAGTAAATTATCACTAAATGCCATGACAAAGAACAGAACTCTAAGCTGGGTTTTGCCATTTGTTTTTTAAATTTTTTACTGATTTTGTGTGTGTGTGTGTGTGTGTGTGTGTGTGTGTGTGTGTGTATTTCATACAAAACATCCCAAACAATCTTTTTCATCTTTATACCCACATCCCAAATGGCACCCTCCCATAGCTCTCCCCCACCCCCACTGGAGCCCATATACTCTGTCATCCCTCTTACGTCTACTGTTTTGTCAGTGTCCCTGAACCGTTTCCCAGCGCAAGTCCATCCACTGAGTCTAGTCAGCCTATCTAGAGTCCCTTATTTTAGGAAGATGAGTTCTTCCTCATCTAGCAACAATCAGTTGCCAACATTCCTTTAGATAAGATTGGGGTCTGCTGTTCATTTTCCCAGTTCTATGCTGCGTTACTTCCTGGGAGTCCCTTGGGTCACTATGGCCAACAACTCAAAAGAAGTTATCTCCTGTCTGGCATTGTTTTTTATTATGTAGCTTTTAGCTGTTAAATACACACAAACTCTTAAAGAATTAAAGATCCCTTTAATCTTTGGTTATAATTTCCTTTTGGGTGTTTAAGACTATACTGTTGGCCCAGAACAAACAGTTTATTTTTACTCTTAAGGTCAATTGAAGATCTGTTCCTCAGGGGTCACATGGGCTTGGGAGGAGCCCCTGGCTCCTTTCTTTTACCAGTTCCATCTATGTAAAGATAAGTCAAAGGTCCTGCTCAACCATGGTTGGCTTCACTTGGAAGCATGGAGGAAATATTTCCTCTGTGTTGACCCTCCTCTTTGTAGACTGGACACTGGTTCAAGTCCATCTGGTGGGGTCTCCATGGCCTCCCTGAACAAGAAGACAGGTGACTTACCACAGTTATAGGACATTTTGATTGATGCTCCATAGTCCCCTGGAACTTAGTCAACCTAGGAGGGCAAGGAGCAAAAACTATCCTTTATGTCCTTTTGACAAGATTAGTATAGGCCTCAAAGTATGGCTGTTAAACATCCAGGAAGGTTAGTTCCACCAGTCTGACACTTAATTTCCATGCACTGTGTATGTAAATCTTGGGCAAAATCCAAACGTTCTCAGATAAACCTTGACTAGACATATATTTTGTTCCTTGAACTAGTTGTATGTATAATTTGTCAGTAGGTTGTTGGACTAATATGGTTCCCTCTAGTTTTTTAAAACTAGCTAGGAATTATTTAACTCTCTCACCATCTAACCTTTCCACCATGGTTTCCCCATTTAAAGTGCCCCCATTTTTTGCATTTCTCTTAATACCCTTCTCCTATGGTCCCACCTCTTTTGGGCTCCTTCTTTCCCTTTATCTCCAAGGTTCCTTGTATAACCCTCCCTCCCCCTCCCATTTAAATAACCCCGTTTTTATCCATATCTCCCTTAGTAACACCTGTTTCCTACTGTTCTCTATCAAGTTCTTTCATTTCCTTTACCGTCCCCGGTTCCTTTTCATTAATCCTTGTTCTTATAGTTATGTCTACATACATACTCACTTATAAGGATTTGGTGCTAGGATCCAGTTATGAGGGAGAACATACATCGTTTGTTTTTCTGAGTCTGTGTTACTTCACTTAGTATAACAGTTTCTAGTTCCATCCAATTACCTGCAAATTTCATGATTACATCTTTCTTTACTGCTGAGTAAAACTCTATCATATAAATGCACTACATTTTCATTATCCACTCATCCGTTGAGGGACACTTAGGTTGCTTCCATCTCTTAGCTATTGTGAAAAGAGCAGCAATGAACATGGATGTACAAGTGTCTCTGCAATAGGACGAGTTCTTTGGGTATATGCCAAGGAGTGGTATAACTGGGTCAAATGGTAGGTTCATTTGGAGTTTTTTAAGAGTTCTCCACACTGCTTTCCATAGGGGTTGAACAAGTTTTCAATCCCACCAGCAGTGGATGAGTGTTCCCCTTTCCCCACATCCTCTCCAACATTTGGTATCATTTGTTCTCTTGATCTTAGCAGTCTGACTGGGGTAAGATGAAATCTTAAAGTAGTTTTAATTTGCATTTCCCTAATTACTAGTGATGTTGAACACCTTTTAAGATGCTTCTTAGCCATCTTTATTTCTTCTTTTGAGAACTCTCTGTTCAGCTCCTTTGCCCATCTTTTAATTGAGTTGCTTCCTTTCTTGATTCTTTGTTTTCTGAGTTCTTTATATATTCTGGATGTTAAACCTCTGTCAGATGTGTTGCTAGTGAAGATTTTCTCCCATTCTGTGGGTTTTCTCTTCACTTCCCTGGTTGTTTCTTTTGATTTACAGAAGCTTTTTGGTTTAATGAGGTCCCATTTGTTGATTCTTGACCTTATTTCCTGAGCAATTGATGTCCAATTTAGAAAGTTTTTTCCTACACATATATCTTGTAGGTTATCGCCAATGTTTTCTTCTAAGATTGCAGAGTTTTTGTGCAAGGTGAAAGATAGGGGTTTATTTTCATTTTACAGGTGAAAATCCAGTTTTGCCAGCACCATTTGCTGAACATGCTACCTTTCCTCCAGTGAATGTTCTTGACCCCTTTGTCAAATATCACATGGTTGCATGTACTCATTATTTGGTTCTTCAGTTTTGTTCCATTGATCTACAGGTCTAGATTTGTGCCATTACCATGTTGTTTTTATGACTATAACTCTGTAATATAGTTTAAAATCTGGTATAGTAATACCCCTAGCATTGCTCCTAGTGCTCAGGGTTGCTTTGGCTATCTGAGGTCTTTTGTGCTTCCATATGAATCTTAGAATGGTTTTTTTCCAGTTCTGTGATGAATGGCATGGGGATTTTGATTGGCATTGCATTGAATCTATAAATGACTTTTCATAGGATGGTCATTTTCACAATATTAATTCTTCCAATCCATGAGCATGGGAGGTCCTTCCATCTTCTGGTGTCTTCCTCACCCTCTTTCTTTAAAATTTTAAAATTTTCATTGTAGAGCTCTTTAATATCTTTGGTCAGGTTTATTCCAATATTTTTTTTTTTTGAGGCTATTGTGAAAGGGAGTGTTTCCATGTATTCTTTCTCTGATTGCTTGTTACTGGTATATAGAAAAGCTACAGACTTTGTAGGTTAATTTTGTAACTGCCACTTTACTGAAAGTGTCAATCATTTCTTGGAGTTTTCTGGTAG